TCTCTCATAACCGGAAGTTGTCGTTTTTGTTTCCGGTGGGACTGATATATTTCGAAACTACAAATAAGATGCTATAATGTGATGCAATAAAAGTTTCATGAAAGAAAAGTTGAAATTTTCGATTTCTTTGATCACTTCCTGTGACAACCGGAAGCGACGGCGGACGATCTTAACCCAAATGGATTTGCCTACTTATCAAGATCTATTACTCATATAAGTTTGGTGTCTTCATCTCTAACCGTTTCTGAGATATGACTCGGACAAAATTTTTTTGAAAAAAGCGGAAATCGGACATATCTGACGACCGGAAGTGAATTCTGAAAAACTGAAAACTGCATTTGAAAGATATTTTTACTCTCTATCATCTCTGAAAATTTCATAAGAATCCGTCCAGTCATCTCTGAGAAATCGTCAAAAAAAGAAAAGGGAAAAAAAAAATAATAATAATAATAATAATAATAAAAAGAAACAGTAGAATCACTATAAGGTCTTCCGTCTGAAACGGAAGACCTTAATAATAATAATAATAAGAAACCGAGTAAAAACAATATGTTCCCAAACTCCGTTTGGGGAACATAATTAGATTTCAAGGGTAGGGAATATCTAAAGGTGTTGCAGTACAATTCATGGACAATTTCATCAGATGTAAAGATTGCCATAAATACTAGAGTTCTTCCATGACATAAATTTTTATACCATCATGAAGCACAGAAGGAGTGTTATTTTGAATATTTATGGCCAGTTTATGCCTAAAAACAAATTTATTAACTTCATGGATTTTGGTGGAAGCAGTAGATATGGAAAATGTCAGGTTTTATATTTTTGTTGCCATGGCAACGGTTTTACTTTACAAGAAAAATTAAAAATCGTCTTCTTTACCCAAATTATTACATATATCTGATAACGGAGAATAAAAAGTTTAAATAATATAAGAATGAATTATATTAATTTAGGTCATTCTAATAGTTTAAGTTAGTAATTTTATAAAAGAGATCAATTTTTTCAATGAAATAATTACACGAGGTGAAATATGCGTTAAATTTGGCGTCTTTTATTCAAAAATGGGACGGGCAACCTCATTGACAATCATATTTAATGATGAAGCTAATCTCCCTGAATAAATTGATATGTAGCATGTGTGCAAATTAAAAAAAAGGATATGAATTGGAGGGAGACGCAAACCTTACCTTAAGTTATTGAAACTAAGTTGGTGAAATAAGACAGTCTCCATTGAAATCATTCTTTCGAGTGTTCTATGGTCAATACAATGGCCTTGTCAGCAAACCAATCTATAATTATAAGGTGAGTCAAACCCATTTATCTTAATTTAATAATAACAACGTTTAACATATGGCTAGTTTGTACAGGTCTGGAGGAGATAATTGTTTCTGACAATTACAAAAGAAGGGACATCATGTTAGCGGGATTCCGTTAATACCTACTGCAATGAAGGCTTATTAGCAAGCGTAACATGCTTACTGGCAAAATGATTGAATACAGTTTAACGTCCCTCTCCAGAATATTTCACTGATATGGAGACGTCATCATTGCCGGTGAAGGGCTGCAAATTTAGGCCTATGCCCGGCACTTACGGCCTTTGAGAAGTGGGGGATCTTTATCGTGTCACACCTGCTGTGACACGGGGCCTCGGTTAATACGGTCTCATCCGGAGGACCGGCCCATTTAGTCGCCTTTTACGACAAGCAAGGGGTACTTAGGACCTATTCTAAACCGGATCCCAAAGGGGGCTTACTGGCAAGAAAAAAGGAACATGAAATCTACCCATATTTTTAATTTTATACAAATTCATTAGTAGCTACGGACTTATGCCGTAATATGTCCTCGATACTCTTATGCAAAAATTGATAAAGGCCAAAGTGTAATATAAAGAATTAAAGAAAGATAATTCAATTTTTTTTAAGCACAGTAAAAAAAATCGTAAATTTCTTAAGATGAAGAAATCGTCAAACTTTCGTACAACCAATATAACCACTTTTACAGTACTCTGTCATAAATAGCAAACGTGCCTTCTACAAAGTTGCGAATTTTATAGCCACAAGGTCATAATAACTGATTATGTAGTCAAAATGCAGTAATCTTTGAAAATATCCGTTCTGTTCCTGGGTATTAAACAAATTAAAGAGGGTAGTGGGTCAACTAACAATTTTTTAAATAACCATCATATTCAATTCCAATTTTGGGATTTGATATCTTAAGCTGTCAACTATCATTTGGCAAAGAAAAAATTCATAAACTTTAGTTTTAAAATTTGATCATTTTATTTTATCTTTATAAGGAGCTTTTTTTTTAATGGAGACCAAATAGTCTTAAAATGACGACGACCACCCAGTCTCTTACTCTACATACAAAATTCTGAGGAGTAGGAGGAGGAGTGTCTTTTTTTTCTAAAATTATGCGCCGAGTATCATGGAGTCAGGTGTAAGGCTGGGTTCTTTTGATTATATAGCAAAAATGCATTTTACCTTTCTTTGAAAATTGTTTTTTGTACTCCTGAGTATTTAGCAGATGGATCCTTCTTCCTGCAATGTGAATTTCGAGGCCTTGGGTGCAGGGTAATGGAGAGGGAGAGCTCTAATGATGATTTTCTGAAAAATAATTAATGGTATGAAATCTGCTTCTATATTGTAAAATTATAATGAGTTAAAATGCCTTATAAAAATTACACTTACAAATTATAAATTTTGTGTTGGAGTGAAATGACCTAGGTTGTGGAGAGAAATGACCTGGGTACTGGAGCAATGTGGAGGGAAATGACCCGGGGGAGATATGACTTGGGCGGAAATGACCTAGGCGGAGCAGGTACTGGGGAGAAATGACCCGGATTCTTATATGATGCCCTTTTCCTACATGTATATTGAAAGGTTCCGGTTATTTACATATCAACAATTAATTTAAAGGACACGATTTATCTAAATCTTACAAGTATTTAGGCAATGATACGTTAAAATCCTGTTGCTTTCAATCAGAACTATCTTAAAACATGCATTGAAATACTTATTTATAGTTATTATAAAAATTTTTGGACTTCTAAAAATTCTTTGAATTAGTGAAGATTGTTTTATTCCAAAGAAAGAAAATACTTTACAACTGAGAGCAGCAACATAGAAAACGTCTTCCTTGGCGATATTTCCTTTAAAACTACATGTATTACGAGACAGAAGACCATAAAAATATTTATCATTATAGAATGAAACATTGAATATTTCCATTAGCAATTGTTTTCTATATGATAAACACCACAAATGTCCATTTTTTTAAATCCATGGTAATACCTAAGGTATGTATATATCTCTACTAATGAAAGGTCAAATGTCAGTCTGCATGTCTATGAATGGAGAATTAAACACTGGAGAAAAAAAAGATATTTTGTTTAATTGTTAAGTAACTAGAAATAATATGTAATTTTACAAACAACATTAAAAGTGAATTGTCTTTGGATCAAAAGCTAGTCACTAGCGCAACGCTGTCCACTATCACCGGGGCATCGCGAGACCGAGTACTCCAAGTCTGTAAAAATGTTAATGTTTCGTCAAAGGTCAATATGTCTAACAAATTACTTTTACAATAGCTCTAAAACTATGTGTGGTATAAAGTCAAAATGTTTACAGTTTATAAATATATCATTGATTAATAGATAGAAAGTATAACATGATAACAAATATTTATATTAAAAATATTTCTTGAGAAAAATTGTATCAGAAAATGTGCATATTTAAAAAGAAATGCACCTGCTTAATTCTGTCCTTTTCGTGAAAATCATCATTGCAGAAATAATATCTGTTTATCATTGAAGGGCAAGTTGGGCGTGAATGGTCTCTGGAAGGCTGTTTTGGAAAGCATGACATGTATATAGACAAGACTCCTGTAGAACCCACCATTTGAAATGTACTTTCACTTTCAAGTCTTAACATTTGGACAAAATAAACAGGGAAAACAACTTTCCAGAGGCTATCCAAGTCCAACTTGCCCTTCATTGATAAACATATTTTGTTTCTGCAGTGATGGTTTTCACTAAAACCATGGAATTAATTAAATGCATTTTCTGAAAAAATATGCATTTTAAAAGATTTTTTCTCAATTCAAATATTTTTCCAAGTATTTTTTTATATCAATTGATACTCTCCATCTGTTAATCAATACGACATTTATAAGCTGTAAAAGTTTTAACTTTATACATCACAAAGGTTTGGAGCTATTGTAAAAATTAAATTTTGGACATATTGGCCTTTGACAAAACCTTAAACAGCCCATCTGAACCACATGGATAAATCGCCACATAGATCTGTTCTCCATCTGATACAGACATCGTCCCTCAGTCATAACCATCCGACTTCTTAAGCAACTAAACTTCCTTTGCTATTTTAACATTTATGGGACTATTTTCAATTATAGTAATATTCGAAGCCATGGGGCGGAGCAATGGAAAATAACATGGAATGCCTCGTGCATTTCAAATCTACCAAATTACACGGTATTTCCATTTACTTTAAGATACTTATTTTAAGTAAAATTGGAAATAGGAGGAATCACTGTCTAGTTAGGAGGGTATGTCAGGGACATCAACAATAGTGGGAAACATGGGTGTAATTTGAGCATAACGGGCTTTGACCAATAATTACATGTATTCAATGTGTCCCACCACTAATTGTTGATGCCCTGGCATAGTCTCCTATATAGACAGTGATTCCTTAATTATTAAGACTGAAATTGCATGTAAAATAAAACAAACCTGCTTTCGCGAAAGTGTCACGAGAAATATCCTCAACTCCATTATCTTATCTTAGTCACGAGGTAATGTTTGAATAGGATATATATACTGTTATCAAACCTGTGGAAATGTATTTATTTACTTGCTATATACTATTTACTTTTCTTCTGGCTCGCCGTGTATTAGTAATAATTATATGATTTATCAAAACTATCTTTAAAATCAAATCAATATTATTTTTAAGTCAATTAAATTATCTATATTCAGTAAAAGGGATTAGTTGTTACTCAATCTAAATCATTTTATGAAACATTTGTGTTTGTATATTATTTCGTTTCATTTTGCAATGATGACTTCACAATTTAATCATACATTGAGCTAAATTTGTTTAGGAAAAGCTTTGAAGCCTTTCTCTGTAAAATTTTCAAACGTTTTCTAGGTATATGCCAATTTGATAAGACTGAAACTTCAAAGAATGTGGAAAATAAAAAAAACCTACTCCATTCGGCGTCGTTTTCATCGCTTGAAGAGTTTTAGCGTACCAAACAAAATTTAAGATAAAACACTTGTAAAAAAAAAAAAAAAAAAAAAAGAAAGAAAAGATTATCAAAAACGGGAAAATTGTATCACACCAAAGGTATTAATTAAATTGATTTTATTAATAAAATAAAAAGAACAAAATTCAGGTTGTTAATATTTATTACTTTAGCGTTGCATTTCATAGTCATACAAATACTTACAAACGTATTGACAATTACAAATTTATTCGATAAGACAGAATGAGCTTATAAATGTTTAACTCTTTGCCCATTGCGCTGTCTGTGACGTAATAGTAGCATTACATTTCTTACTTTTATATGTAACACAAGATTACATGAAAACTGGAACAAAGCTTTATTCTATGAACAAAACTTCTTTTCTCATCAGTTTTATGAGTTTGTATTAACTTAAATATTCTTTTGTAATTCTATACGTTCCTTTTGTTAATTTCTGCACAGGTTTTTATAAAACATTTACATAAAAAACAACAACAAAAAAACAACAACAACAGCAACAACAAACATTTGTTGAATTTGATAAATTCTGGATCAAGACTCCCAACTCACACAAGATTGAGGGACTTCACATCACCAAACCAGTGGATCAAGTGGTGATCTTATTTAGTATCATAACAAAAATTGCACTAAAATAAGATTGTTACACGTTTTTGTGTATTTGCACTCTTTGGCTGAGGCAGATAATGCAAGCTCTGAAGAACTAAAAATAAACAAAGATTCTGGCCAGTAGGGTGACCTTTTAACCTGATCGAACGATTCCCAGAATATGCCATGCATTAGAATGCAGTTGTTTACTTGTTTATCGGAAGATGTATTTGGTCAGGAGGAAGAAGCAACCAACGAGATTTGGGGTTTTCAGAGTTCAGGTGTTTGAATAAATTATCGACAGAAAATATTTCAAGATTATGCAAAAGATTGGTAATTATTTTAAAAGTGTATTAGAAAATATAAAAGTACTGAAGGTCAGAATAAAAGTAATTACACATTCAAATTCAGATTAAAAATAATTATTGCAATTTTAAAAGAAATTTTAAATTATGCAGGGCACGCACAGGGGTATAAATGTAACTCAGTGAACAGAATTCAGCAGTGGAACGCTGAATTTTGTCTCTTTCTGGTTGCATTTATACAGGTAAGATTATCTTGTAGACATGCGCGAGTTTTGGTAAAAATCATTGAATTTACACATGGCTTATTTTATTAACAGGTTAAATGTTTTATATCGTAAGTATATATATTTATAATAATGTTGAATATTTTGTGTAAAATTATTTATTGGAATTATAGATATTAAAATGGATTGTAAAATTGAATAAAAAGTGGAACGCTGAATTTTGTCTCTTTCTGATTACATTTATACAGGTTGGGTAACATCGCCACTCCCCATAATCTGTAATGCGCTAGACATGCAGAAAGAGGAGATTAAATAAATCAAAGGGAGATAAAAATAATTGGAACATTGAAAACATGGTAAACGTTGTCTGGTCAGGACCAGGGTATTGCAGGAAGTTTTTCCCTGGTTTTTAAAACCTCTCACAAGCGGAAAAGCGAAGCACAATCCGTGTAGCTCACAGATGATCCAGTAACCAGACAACATCATTTTAAAAAACCAAAAACACATAAGTTCCAAAATAAACAACATATCCCAAACAATAAACTTTCATATTTCCGAAAAAAAAATATTATGTGCGAAATATATTAGCTTGGAATTATAAAATTTATTATCTAATTATTTATAATCATACCATCAAAACTTTACGCGCAATCAGAGCAGAAAACGTCAAATAGGAAATTTTATGTGATTGCAGGACAAAGGTTATAGCGTTAAAATGCGTGATTGCTGATGAACGGTATTATTTTTGTTCGATTTTCATCCGACTATAAGTTTCAAAAATGTTCTCGAGTATCGACTCCAT